AGATGCCCCCTCATCTGCCCCCCCCCCCCCCCCCGGGTCCCCCCTTACCCTGTAGCCCAGTTCCCCCATGGGGGGGGGGGGGGGTTCTTATTTATCCATAGGTTTTGCTGTAACAGAAAACAAAGGGCTCCGGTGGAAGGCTGCAGTGATGAAAGCGCACAGAAAGAAGGGGACCCACTCAACTTGGACCTTGGTGGGTGGGGCTTCCTGGGTGAGCAGGGCTTGCTGGATGGGCGCCAGCACCAGAATCACCCATCCTCTGCACAGACAGACAGAACTGTCACACGGCTGAAATGAGCGTGACTGTGAGCATCACTCACAGATGTGAGTCTCCTTCACGGATCCCATCACAGGCTCCTTCACTGGTTCCCTGAGGAACATGGCTGCCAGTCAACCTCCACTCAAATCCTGCCTGCACAAAGGGAACTGAAAATAAAGTTTTACTGTACTGTTACTGAAACTAAGACTCTTTCTAAAATATGATGGTTTAAAGGAGATGATGGTCTAAAATGATAAGATACTTAATTTGTTGCCCACAATCCATGCACACTTGACACCATATTATGATATGAACATCATCCAGATCTTTGATGTTCATATATCTTTAACTGGCTCACCATATTTGTGTTTTCAAATTCAACAATGCATTAAGATTTTGACCACATGAAGTAAAGTGGACAGGACGCCCCCTTGCAGGACTTCACCTATTTTAATTCCGCGTGACTAAAATCATCTCTAATGCTCGCTCTCGGAGAGAATTTGTGCTCTTTGCATTTCCCACCGGAGCCGCGTGTGGACCGTTACTTCTGCCGTGTCGCATGGTTTTATTAACAGACGCTACTTTATAACGGCAGGGGGCAGCAAAGGCAAATACTGTAGGCATACATCCTGCAGCACCATTAAATATTTCTGAAGAAATGTCTACAGAAAACATAACGCAGGAATAATAAGTTCATTAGAAGCAAAATCTGTTTTAACATATGGCCAGAATAAACTGTTTATAAAATAATTAATTGAATGCGCGTTGCCGAGAAGTATCTAAATTGGACAAAATGTTTTTATTACTACTTTTAATTAACCATGGCAACGCGCTGACCCACACACACAGACCAAAGAAAACGGATCATTTCCAGGCGCCTGTGTTTAACTGGTGTTCTTTACTAGTTCTTGAATTCATTTATGGCTTAAGCAACGCATTCTACCATTTCTTTGTTGAATTTGGAATATGCAGCTCTTGCGTGCACGACTGTGCACAAATAACGATATATTCAAAGGTCACAGAACAAAGGCAATAGTAGTGATGTAACAATAGTAATATAGAGATAACCAGCTATTTATGTAATTTGAACCTGTTGAAAATCCAGCACTCATGTTGTACATTTAGCACGTGGTCTATAATGTTTGGCAAAAAAAATCCTCAGTAAAATATACAGCCATGTAAATAGACGCAGCAAAAAATTGTAATCAACACCTATTTGCCTTAAATAACCTAAGTAATTTGGGATCTCGGCAGTACTGCAAATTTAAATCGGGAAAGTTGGAAACCTGGTCAGTGAGACCTTGCTGCCCCCTGCCGATGGCTGCTAGAAAACGCACGTATAAATCGTCACTGAGTTAATTATGCGGTTAAAGTATGCATTATCCTTCAAAGTTGAATCGATAGTGTATTAAACAATGTAAATAGTTTGTTTTTTGCCATCAACTTAAAATGTGCGTGGAAAAACGAAGGTCTTCTACTTTCTTTGCACTAAATATAACAATACTAAAATACTACAATACGGTTAATTAAAATTACGGTTTTTTTTAGTTAATGTCTTTATCCAAGTTATAGCAAAATATATTCCACTAATTTTAATATTTGACTACAAACAAATCTGACACGTATGACCTCTTAATTCCCCCCCCCCGTACCCTTTCATTAATATGCAGACAGCACAACAGTCAGGACTCAACTGTTCACAAACAACTGCATAATCCACGTTTCTCTGTTGGCCACTAAACAGCCTAATGAACGCCTCCACATCGAAGACACTCGGGGTGATGTCCTCCTTTTCTTCTTTCCCTCCTAGCTGAATGTGATATCTTAATTTACCAGTTTAAAATCCTTCAAGGCCAGGCAAAGAAAAAGATCGTTATATAACTGCTAGTATAATACCAGAGACACGATTAATACGTTGAAACTAATTAATGTCGTACCTTTTAAACAAGTTTTTATGCCTCTAACGGCAACCCAAAGTTACATGATAATATATAGCAAAAAAAACCAAAAAAAAAACACGAATTTTCCATCAGTCGCTTCTACACCTC